GGTTTATTTGGCCCAGGAATTTAAGTTTGTGAAGCTCATGAGCATGAAATTATCAGCAGGAGGGAGCTTTTGCAGTGTTGATAACACATGAGGTATTTAAACCACATATTTAACACATGACATATTTAAACCACAACACCTGGCTTCGATGTCCCACATCACAGTGAGACCTATTTTACAGTTAATCAACCCTCAAGAACACAGCATTATCATCCAAAGTTCATTGTTTACACTAGGATTTATTTTAAGATCGTATTTTTCACTGGCTTAGAAATATATATAATGACATACCTCTTTGATTAGAGTATTGTACAAATACTATATCTAGACTATTTTTGTTTCTATTTTTACCAACTAGTATATCTCCTGACAATAGCATAGACTCTGAAATGAAATAGACCCTCTTAATTACTATCAAAATAAATTAACAGAGAATTATTACTTATACAATAACTACATTTTTGGTGTGTATGGGGTTAGATTTAAGGCCTTATTCTCTCGCTCAATATTAAGCTCATGTCTGCTTCTGGCTTTTTGTTGGTTAATTAAAGATAAGAGTCATACAGATTTGTTTGCCTTAGCTGGCTTTGAATTGAGATCCTCAGATTTCAGCCTCCCGAGTAGCTAAAATTATGGGCATAAATGCATTAAAAATAAATTCCTCTTTCTGATGGAGGCATAGAATTCCATTGTAAGTCTCAGAAAAATTATATTAAGTGAAGCAAGCCAGACTCAAAGAAACCTGGGTCTCGTGGTTTCCCTTATCTGCAATAACTAGTATATGTCTAAGACAAGCAGAAGAGGTAAAAAGCTATGTACATATGACCATATAACTTGATGCTAAATGAAATGAACCCCAAGATAGGGACACAAGAGGTTTTATCTTTGTTGCTGTTGTTTTTAATGTACTTATAATGTACTATGTGATTTTTTTGTTTCTTTTGCATGTTCTTCTCCCATAGAATAGCCCCTGTTTTCAATGTATTTTATTCTAGTGTCCTGTATCTTATATATACATTTTTCTAACTTGGGGAGGGGAAGGGAAATAACAAAATGCTGAAATAAGGATTCAGGATGACACATTGTAATAATGAGATGTACAAGACAGTATGTTGAAAATGAACTTTATAACTTTGTGTGGGGGGAGGGAGGGGAGGGGGGAATTAGGGAGGTAGGGAGGGAAGGGATGGTAGGGAAGAAAACAAAGGAGGGTATAACAATGCTCCATAAGAAATGAACTCATTACCTTGCTCTTGTAACTGTAACTGCCTCTGTACAGTATCTTTACAATAAAAATATATTAAGAAAAATAAATAAATAAATTCCTCTACAAACTAATGTACATAAAAATATCATTTATTCTGGTAAAGTAGGAAGTAGCTGATAAACATCTTATTTAACAAATTACTTGGGCTGATACTTTGGTCTTTACTGAGAATTGTTATATAGTGTTTCTGAAATAGTTCATTCTCTTGACATTAGTTATGAAATTGACCGAGTAATATCCTCACATATAGATTTTCTTTTAAAATTGGTGAGAAATCCCAATGAATTTAATTAAGCAAGAACCTGTCTTGGATATATGCCAGTTGTAGGATTGGCTACAAATTATAAAACCTTCAGCAATCTTTGTCCAAGTAGATGGCAGATGCTAGCCTCAGTCTAAGTGACACATTATTTCAGAAAATGCTTTAGTAGGCTTAAGGCACGATCTTAACAAGGCACAAGAACGTGACTAATTCTCAGGTGCAAGGTTTAGGTTATGCCAACACACAAGGGGAGAAGAGTTGAAGCGATAGGCTAACTAGCTTGATGAGTTATTCTTTAGTTACCAGAAAAGAATTTATGAATGAAAAGCTTCCCTGTTAAAAAGGACAGTTTCTATCTTCCTATGTGTACATAGGAATTGGGGGGCAGTTTTGATAAATTATCCTAATATGAAATATTGTAACTTTTCAGTTTGTACCATGTAATTCCTTTGAAATAGCTTTAAAATGCCAATAATGATTTCCTGAAATATGCACAGGATCATGGAAAATGTACAAACATAGCCTTGTAGTTTCAAATATATCCTCAAGGAATCATTCATCTTCTTCTCTTCTGTGTGTATCTTGAATGGAAGACAGATCTCTAGCACCTTGAGAGTGAGGTAAAATGTCCTTCAAAATGCAAACAAGCTCCCAAAGGAGCTGGAATTTTCCATTTTTCTTATGTAAGAGGCTGACTTTCATTACATAGGAAATTATGCATTAAGAAGAATCAAAATATTGGAAAACAGCTGCAGGTAAACTTGTGCAGGTTGCATATGATACATATGGTGAATATATTTAAAATACAGTAAAAAAAAAAGAACTAAGAAAAATTAGAGAAGGGGAGGTTGGGAGGGAGGGGTAAGAATGTTCACAAGGGTTCGCATTGACCACAATCTATTGTAATCAGAGACTGCTTTGTTGAATGGCAAATCCTTAGTGCAACTATTTAAAGATATGTCTAGGATAATCTGAGCCAATAAGCAGAATAGCTCAATAGCTATGTACATATGACCATATAAGATAACACTAAGAAAAATGAACTCCAAGACATGGACACAAGAAGTTGTTGTTTTTAATGTACTATGTGATTTTTTTTCTTTTGTATGTTCATCCCCCTATGCCTTATCCTTTGTTGTCACTGTATTTGATTCTGGTACCCTGGTATTGTATATATGTTTATGTGAATAAGGGAAGGGAAGGGGAACAACAGAATGGTGAGACAAAGGACAAGAGGGGAACCAATGCAACAGCGATAGACACAAGACAATATGTTGGAAATGATCTGTACAACTTGGGGGTAGAGGGGAAAAGGGAAAGTAGGAGAAATATGAGGGAAGGGGTAACAAGTTTGACAAGAAATGTACTTATTACCTTACTTATGTAACTGTAACCCCTCTGTATATCACCTGGACAATAAAAAAGGAAAAATAAATAGTACCCATGTTATATCTTAAGGGATTATAATTCTCTCTGGAAAAGTTGAAGATTTCTGGCAAAAAGTATTTCCTTAGTGAATCTCAAAGTTTCTGCCCTGAGAGGACATGAACCCTTGGGTAGAATCTGAGCCTGTGTAAGACAGCGGGTACTCAGGGATGCCTGGAAATGTGATTTTCTTGGCACAACATGATGAAGGTTTTCCATAACTACTATTTTTATGCTTTATGCATTTATATGTTAGGAAAAGTAAACACCCTGCAAGGTTCCCATGATTGGATTGGGTATCTGAGACTCTCAGAATTATTACTCACACATGGTGTTACATGGAACGATTTGACATTTGTCTGTTTTTCTAAATTCTTAACTTCCAGGAAATCGGAGTATGACTGTGTGTGTGTGTGTGTGTGTGTGTGTGTGTGTGTGTGTGTGTGTGTGTGTGTATACATTGGTCCTGGGGCTTGAACTCTGTGAGCTTTTATTTTGCTCAAGTCACAGATTCACCTCCTGTTTTCTGGTAGCTAATTGGAGATAAGAGTCTCCTGGACTTTCTTGGCCTGGCTGACTTTTTTTTCCTTTATTGTGAAAATACTGTACAAAAGGGTTACAATTACATGGGCAAGATAATGAGTACATTTCTTATCAAGCATTGTAGCTTCCTCCTTTGTTCCTGCTGACTTTGAATGGTGATTCTCAGATCTCAGCCTCCTGAGTAGCTAAGATACAGGCATGAGTCACTGAAGTGTGGCCCTGAATGTGACTTTGAGGGATGAGATCTTTGTGGCTGTAACCAAATTAAAACGTGGTCATTGGGATAGCATCCAATCTGGTGTGACTGCTGTCCTTATCAGAAGCAGAAATTTGGATATGTGAAAAGTCAATTGGTAATTCACAAACCAAGGAGAAGGACCTAGAACAGCTCTTCTCACCAATTTTTGAAGCAACAGTGTCTATACTTGATTTTGAATTTCTAGCATATACAATTCAGACAACACATTATTATTGTTTAGACTATCTGGATGGTGTGACTTTGTTTTAGCAAAAGATCACAGCTTATACTACTGGTGAGTGGGGGTGAGAGAGGGGGTAATAGTCATGTAAAACATGGGGGTTGCTAGGAGTAGATGTATTGAGTTGACCTGGTAGAGTTTACTAATTAATGGAAGAAAGAGCCTGTTGGTAGAAACTCAGACACTGAAAAATTGACTCTAGTAAGGAACTCAGAAAGAAAAAAGGAGAGCCACAGAGAAGGCATCTTAGTCTTAGAAAATGCATAAACCTTCATGAAAAAAGTGCTTCCAGGAATAAAAACCCTGAGATGCTTATTGTGAAGTCACAAATGGAAATGAGGAACAAGTTATTAGAAAGGGGAAGAAGAAAAATCATTGTTTTATTACTTATTCATTCATTTATGTGTTTATTGAATTCTTTTTGATTTGATGGAATTTAATTTCAGAATCTTGTCCTTGATATCCAGGTGCTCTACCCATTGAATTATGCCAATTGTTCTGACAACATTGTTTAAAAGTAGCAGCATTAGCATATAATATAGTGATTTTTGATGTATAGTCTTAGTAATATTCATTATTTAGCCTGTGTGTCCAACTATGCAAATTATTTTAAATGAGTGTTCATTATTACATCTTGATGACTTTATATATCACATATAATATATATAACATATGACTTTATATATAACATAACATACATATGATTTTATGAATAACAAATCTTTTTATAGAATTCCTTGTTTCCATCATTTCACCTCACTTCTTTGAAGTACTACTTCTCCAGAGACACTTGTTGAGTTGAACTTAATTGTCTGGCTCTATATTTACATATGAATAATTTTGAGGAGGGAACCCTATCTCACTCAATTTGGCAAGCCCAGGGTCAACAGAAGGCTGGTTGACACAAGTACATGCTGCATATACATTATTGGTGGATAGGTGAAGAGGAAGATTATAATGCTTCTAAAAAGCTTCTCATTCTCTTATAGGTAAATGGTTGAAATCAGCTCAAGTAAGAGAATATATGGAACCAAGGAACAATGTAACTTACTTTGTCCTCTTGGGTCTCACCCAGAATCCAAAGGAACAGAAAGTACTTTTTGTGATGTTCTCACTCTTCTACATTATGACCATGGTGGGAAATCTGCTCATTATCATGACTATTGCTTTCAGTAAGACCCTGGATTCACCCATGTACTTCTTTCTCGCTTGCTTATCTTTTGTGGATATTATTTATTCATCATCTATTTCTCCTAAGCTGATTTCAGACTTGTTCTTTGGGGAGAAAACCATCTCCTTCAAGTCTTGTATGATTCAGCTTTTTACAGAACATCTTTTTGGTGGGTCAGAGATCTGTCTTCTACTGGTGATGGCCTATGACCGCTACGTGGCCATCTGTAAGCCCTTGCATTATTTGGTCATCATGAGACAAAGGGTGTGTATTTTGTTGTTAGTCATGTCTTGGGTGGGAGGGTTTTTGCATTCAATAATTCAGCTCAGCACTATTTATGGGCTCCCTTTCTGTGGCCCCAATGTCATTGATCATTTTATGTGTGACATGTTCCCGTTGTTGGAACTTGTATGTGCTGACAGCTACGTCACTGGTGTCTTAGTGGTGGTCAATGGAGGCTTGATGTGTGTGATTGCATTTCTGTTCTTACTGATGTCCTATGGTGTCATCTTGCACTCTCTGAAGAACCTGAGTCAGGAAGGGAGGCGGAAAGCTCTGTCCACCTGTGGCTCTCACATCACTGTGGTTGTCTGCTTCTTTGTTCCCTGTATTTTCATGTATGCAAGACCTGCTATGACTTTCCCCATTGATAAATCATTTGCCGTGTTTTGTACTATCTTAACCCCCATGCTGAACCCATTAATCTACACTCTGAGAAATAAAGAGATGACAAATGCCATGAAGAAGCTCTGGAGAAGAAAAGTCACATCAGGTCATGAGTAAATGAGTCACCCAGCATGGCGAATACATTGACCATAACGTTCATCTACTAAGCAACTCTAGACCAAAATATTAAAAAAGCAGTGACATTGGTACTTTTCCACATGCATTGTATATTGTATTCATTTACTGTTATGATTATATCAATCATATACTAATATATCTTTATGTAATCTGTCATACCATAGCATGTTCTGCATCAGATCCCTCTCTTCCTTTTGATCATAAACTTATGCTAGAACTTTTTCAAAAAATTCTGTTGTAAAGGTGATGTACAGAGAAGTTGCAATTACATAAGTCAGGTAATGAGTGCATTTCTTTTTGAACAGTGTCACCTCATTCCCTCATTTTCTCCCAGGTTTTCCCTCCTGAACATCCCCTCCCCTCAAGTTGTATGGTTCATTTTCAACATAGTGTCTAGTCATTGCTCTATTTGTTCATCCTTTGTCCTACCATTTCTGAGCTTCCCAAACATAAACTTACAAACAAGAGAAGAGATAAGAAAACAAAAACAGCAATAAAAGAAAAAACATCCTTGTTTCCATTTTGTGCAGTTCTTGATAGATATAATTTTATATTACCATAGGCACATAACTATTGAGCCTTTGTGATCATTTCCTAAGAATATCCTCCTTTAGCTTCACTGCGTGAATGTCTCAAGCCCTGTATAATTTACAAGCCCTGTATAATTTATTTTATGTTTTACTCTTCAGTGTGTTTACTTGTAGATTTACAGGCACATTCTAGTTACCACAAATGAGGGAAACTATGCAAACTATGTTTCTTCAGTTCTGGCTTACTTCACTTAGTATAATTTTTTCCAAGTGCCAGAAATAAGAATGGCCAATAAACAAATGACGAAATGTCCAACATCTCTGACCATAAAATAAAAGAAAGTCAAAACAACCTTGAGATTCCACCTCACCTCCAGTTAGAATGGTCATTATCAGGAGAAGAAACAAAGACAGATACTGGCAGGAATGTGGCCAAAAGGGAATGGTACTATACTGTTGTTGGGATTGGAATTATGTGCAACCACTCTGCAAAGCAGTACACAGGTTCTTCAAAAGACTAAACATAGAGCTTCCCCATGATATAGCAATTCTACTTCTGGGCATTTATACAACAGAACACAAACCAAGTCACACTAAAGCCATCAATACAACCATGTTCATTGCAGCATTGTTTACCATAGTCAAGATATGTAATCAAATCAAATGTCTTTCAATGATGAATGGATGAAGAAAATATGGTATATAGACACAGTGGAATTCTATTCTCTCAGAAAGAATGATATTGTACCATTTATAAGGAAATAAATGTACAGTTTATGAAATATGATGCATATAGATAAAAAATATTTACTCAATGAAGCAAATTAACATGCCTGTCATTTTGCATAGTTAATTATATTTTGCCTTTGTTGGAAGAGCATCAGACATGTACTGACTTTGGCTAAATTGCAGATATAGTGCAATTTATTTTCTATTGTCCAAATGTTCACTCATCACAGGATACAAAGTAGCAGATATGGACATATAAATAAAAAGATGTAAGGCTGTCATTTATACTGAGATTATTTCTCTAACAGATGATGTATATTGAGAATTTTGTATTTTCAAATGTAACATTATAATGTATGTATATCTATAAATACATGAAATTTGTTTTAAATGTTGTAACATCTTAGATGGATTATTATCCAGATCATTGAACATGCTCTCAGATTACTCTTTATTGCATTCCTCTATTAGTCCTCAGTATAGTTAAAATAGCTAAATTATATATTTATGTAACATTAACATATGTAATTCAAACACAATTACTTCTTAATTTATTAAAATTGTGTGGTATATAGTTTCTGCTTATTTTGTAGCCAATATTAATTTTCTAAGATTTGAGCATGTAATTCCATGTCACCCTTCATTTCCTTGCTGTGTACTATTCCTGTAAATCCAGATTATGCATCTGTTTAGTCATTGGTCATCTGGATTGTTCCCTGTTAGATATCACACAGAGTTTTCCTGTGATTTCATTCCCTTCCTAAGTTACATTCTCACTGTGATTTCATTCCTTTCCTAAGTTACACTGTCACCAGTGTGGGGTTGATGTTCAACCTTATCAACAGTTGATACCACAATAAACTTGACATTAGCAAATGGGTGTTGATCAGAACTCTAGACCCTGTTGGATGGAATGTAGGTTAGAACAGAGAGTATGGAAGATATATGGAGTTTCCTTGAGAAAGAAAACTGCAACTAGAGCTAGCATCTGGGCTGGGAATTGCCATACTGTTCTGGCTCTTGCTTTGATTTCACTCTTCAGTGCTTTTAGGAAGCACTTTGTTACTTTCTGATTATACGTTGTCTTCTTTTTGGATGTCTTTTTTGGGTTTCTATGTAATTTAAGATGGAATGATGTTTTTACTGTGATTTAAAAACCCACTGTTTAAAGAACATTTAATAATTACAATTTGAACAAAATTTACAATAGAAGTTTCAAGTATCAGGATATAGCACTGGGAATATTTTCTCATGTCTATCTAATAGCTGTAGTGTTAGCTGGTTTACAGAATGAAAATGTGAAAATGTTGTAGAATAATACATCATGGTGTAATAAAGGTATTCAGAAAATAACTGAAAAAAATGTAAAAGTGGAAAACATTAAAATGTTATGCAGATATTTATCATGAGATTACAGTAAAATGAATAAACTTTAGAGAGTATTTGAAACATTTTTTCATATGTAGCAGCATCTAGTTCTGTTATTTAAGTAAGTTTCTTTAAAGAAAGTAGTTTGATATTTTTTTTTGTCGGTTGTGGAGCATGACCTCTGGCTGTCCCTCAGCTCTTCAGCCCAATGCTAGCTCTCTATCACTTGAGCCACAGCGCCACTTCCAGTTTTTGGGTGGTTTATTGGAGATAGGAGTCTCATGGACTTTCCTGCCTGGGCTGGTTTCCCACTGCAATGTGGCGATCTGTAAACCACTGCACTATTTGACCATCATGAATCGTCGAGTTTGCATCCTCCTATTGGTGGTGGCCAGGGTTGGAGGTTTAGGACACTCTGTTGTTCAACTTGTCATTATGTACAGCCTCTCTTTCTGTGGCCCCAGTGTCATCGACCACTTTATCTGTGACATATACCCACTGTTGGAACTTGCGTGCACCGACACCTATGTCATGGGCCTCACTGTGGTTGCCAGTGATGGAGCCACCTGTATGGTGGTCTTCCCTTTTCTCCTCATCTCCTATGGTGTCATCCTGAACAATAGTAAGACTCACAGTCAGGAGCGGAGGCTCAAAGCCCTGTCCACCTGCAGCTCCCACATCTCGGTGGTTGTCCTGTTTTTTTGTGCCCTGTATCTTCATGTATGTTCTACCTGTTTCTAACTTGCCTATTGACAAATCCCTAGCTGTTTTTTATACAGTTGTCACTCCCATGTTGAATCCTTTGATCTATACTTTGAGAAATTTAGAGATGACAAAAATCCATGGAGAAACTGTGGGGTAAAATATTAGCTATAGATGGATTAAGAATGTCTACATGATCTAATTCTAAAGAAACATAAACACAGATTTTTAGTAAAAGAGGATGATGTGGTCTATTCAGTGGATTGTGCAGCAATTGGTTTCTTTTATTGCAGTCATAAAATATCAGAGTAAATAGTCTCTGAGATTAGAATCAGATTAATAGAAAGCTTCTTGAAGATGAGTGAACTATGCAGTGATTTTTACTGTACAACAGGGAAACAATAATATAGTCTGGGATATGTATAATCATCCAGATTCATTAGAAAGGACTTTGGCGATTAAAATTTCTGGGATGAAAATAGAAGATTTAAAAATGCAATTGCTCATTATTGTACCAGAAATATATATATATATATATATATGTGTGTGTGTGTGTGTGTGTGTGTGTGTGTGTGTGTGTGTGTGTGTAAATATAATTTAATTTTGCTGTAAAGGTGTTGTACAGAGGAGTTACAGTTACATGAGGAAGTGCATTTGTTGTCAAACATTGTTTTCCATTCCTTTAATTTCTTCCACTATTCCTCCCCTCAACTTTTCCCCCCACTGCCTAAAGTTGTAAGGTTCATTTCCAGCATAGTGTCTTGTGAATATCACTGTTGCATTGGTTCACCCTTAGTCCTTGTTTCACCATTTTGTAATTCCCCTTCCAGTCCCCAAATCAGATAAACATATATACGAGATGCAGGGTACCAGAACCAAAAACAGTGACTACCAGTAATGAACCAGAGGGAAAAATAAGAAAAAGTAAAAAGAAAGAACTTGATACAGTACATTGACAGGAAAGGAAATGTGTATTTTTAAACTTGCATTATGCACACTATATTAAGACTAATTCTGTCCCTCAGTTCTATGTACTTTATACTCAGGGAATGTAGATGGCTGATGATACTTAATTTAGGTGATGATATGTTTCATGAACAGTTTTTCTATATGTGATGTGGTGATTTTGTTCAAACAATACAAAGTGAAGTTTGTAATCCTACTTTTATGACATTCCTCATTACTTGTGTGACTTTAATTTTCAAAGAATAATTCTCATTTTGACTTCTGTTTTATGAACTATTGTATCTCTAGAGGTAAAAGTATAGACTGTGAGACAAAATACATCCTCTAGATTTTTCTGAAAAGAAGCAGTAAGCCAATAATTAAATAAAAAATTTAATAATATATCCAACATCCAGGTGCTGGTGACTTACTCCTGTAATAGTAGCTACTAAGCAGCCTGAACTCTGAGGATTGGGGTTTGAAGCCAGCTTGCTTATCTCCAGTTAACTACCAAAAACGCTGGAAGTGGACTTGTGTCTCAAATGATAAAGCACTAGCCTTGAACATAACAGCTCAGTGATAGCACCTAGGCCCTGTGTTCAAGCTTCGGGACACACACACACACACACACACACACACACACACACAGAGATAGACAAAATCTAACATTTCACTAATAGGTAGCAAGAAATTGAGTGTTTTGTG